TTCATACATGTTTATTATGTATATTTTTGCGCAATCAACAAAAGCAAGTGTTCCGATACTTTTGTCCAGGTACTGTAAAATGTATCTTTATGAGGAATGTAACTTGATTCAATTTGAATGTTATCAAATGGTTCAAAATTCTTCCTAAGAACAACAGTTTCTTCCGCATGTTTGGAAAAAGATCATGACCAAATAATGAATCATACCAGAAACATAATATCTCATCTAATTTATCAAAAGTTGGCCTTTTTGTTGGATCCGCGTCAAGACATTGTTTAGCTAATCGGAAGTAATTCGCTGGAGCAGTGTTCTTATTTATTTCCGGTCTCAATCCCTCCCCACAAACTCTTGCGGCCAGGTTTTCATCGTGTGGAATATCATAAAATGGCGGTTTCCCAGTAGTCATTTCGGTCATTATCACACAAAAACTATAAACATCTGATTCCTTAGATTGTGGCTGTCCGTGCAGTACTTCTGGTGCAATATATGGTAAAACACATTCCTATTACTATTATTTCTAACATCCGATGAAAATCCAAATCCTGTAATATAATCACTTCTTTTTTTTACTAAAATATTCCCACAATGAAGATTACGATGAACGCATCCCGCACGATGAATTCTTTTCATACCATTTGATATGTTGAAAAGGATTTCGATCCTACTTGTCCAATGGGATTGTAGGGACCCTAGGGATTCTTGGATTTTATTATCCAGAAAATTTCGTAGACTAGCTTCTTTATAATCCATAACTATTATATAATTTTTGGTTTCTGTGTAATACCATATAATCTTAATAATTTCTCTGTAACATATTCTCGATCTTAGAAGCATTTAAAATAAGCTTCAATCTATTATATGTGTGTAAAATATGCACATGATATTTATGAAATATAATGTATATTAATAACTTAGATTTTATTTATATTATTACTCATTACCTTTGATAAAAAATCAAGGAATATATCATAACCACTTTTTATTTCTTTCATAGCGACATCAATTACTTTGTGTTTACTTTTAACATTCCCATCACAGTATCTCAATCCATCATGCCACTTGGCATGATACGCAACCCCATAGCCACCTTCACCAATTCTTTTGATAATTTCAAGATTTCCATAAGGAATGTATTCAAGAAATGGGTCATCTTAATGATTTGCTTTTTTTACATTGTTTAAGATCCAATCCCTTATGGTTTCATCTTCGATATACCAACCCTCAATTAAGCGTTCTGGATTGCATGATTTACACCATTGTCTTCCTGTGTTGTGATAAACAAATGCCATAATTTTCATTAATACTCTTTTTTTTTTTATTTTTAAAAAAATATATTTATTAAGGATAAGAATGAATATTATTATTATTTACATTTATTTGTGGTGTATTTATAATGGTAATTGTTTTTTTTTGTGTTATTATTCTCTTTCACATACCATACACAGGTAAACTTGGAAGGCTAATTTCAGCAGGTAATAATTTCTAAATTTATAAAAATTTTCACAAAGTATTATTAGACTATAACAATAGCCTTGTTTATATGTAAAACTATAAAACATTAAATTTTTTCAGAATGTTGCTATCAATTAGATGATAAAACACATATCTACATGTTCCACCTATTCATGGAAAATACATCATATTTTTTTTAAACGCAAATGAAAGATGCTCGAAATTGTATTTTAAAATAACCGGGTTTTTCCGGTTCATTTTTGAAAAATTATTTATTATTATATTATTATTGTGATAGCAACTGGACCTAAACTGTATCTTAATTGAAAATATCTTCTTTGAGAATTTCCAATTATAATAAAAAGATTTTGAAATTTTTCTTCGTGATAAAAATAATGAGTTCTTATAAAACTGAATTAGTAACAGGAAACCTAATTTTATATTTAAGGGCAACCTAATGAATTTAAAAAGAACAAGTTTTATGTGTCAATTAGACGGTCGGTTTAAAGAAGATTTAGTGGCTTATGTATAACCTGTGATTTTTGTGGTTATCATCAATGTCTCAAATTAGCAGGAAAAAAACATTTGATTGATAAAATAGAGTTGCTTAAACATCAACATATTTCTTTTAAAAAAAAGCAATAATTATATGTATTTTTAAGTTATTGGAGAAAATTTTTAAATATATACAAAATAGCCATGTTTCTTTAAATCACACTAATGAAGAAAGATTATTCCCTTATAAAATCTGTGATTCACGGGTAAAAGCTTACATATATATATTTTTATATTCATCTTATATTATTATTTTGCTTTGTTTTTTTTCCACCCAATTTAATTATTTATTTTATTCCTTTAAGATATTTAATTCTTTGCCAGAAGATCTGGTAGTCCAATTTCATGTAGAAGGTTCATATATTATTACATCAGTTTATTTACTTCAATATCATTTATCATTACCACAACAAAAACATGGAAGTTTATTAGGAATATCAAAACAATCACCAAAAGTCTGGTAATTTCCTCCTATTTATTTTTTACAAAATTTAATGATAACCTTTTATTTCCTTTAAATACTAAATTAATTTCTTTTAGTAAATATAAGGATAAATATGTATCAATTTTAGATGAAGTAGTTGTCAAGTCATTGGATCCTAAATTAGAAGAGCTAATGGAAAATATTAAGAAATTAGAAAAAGAATGTTTATCATGGAAAAGTAAAATAGAATTATTCTAATAATAGTAATAATCCTGTTTTTTTTTTTTAAGAATCAATTAACACAACATGGGAAAAATTCTTCAAGCCTCTAATATTATTATTTAAATTTTTGAAAAATGATGTTATTTACCAATTAGTTAATAATCATTTAAAGCATATTTCAATTTGATTATGTTTTTTCCCCATTAGATTATTTAATTCTTTTGAAATCATTTAATACAAAATGTGAGTGTTAATATTGTATGCATGTATTTCATTTTATTTCTCATGAAAAATAAATAAAATCTTGCTAAAAAGACTTGGAACATAATTGTTTAATTGGGATATATTTTTGACATCAAGTTTGATAAGTCAGCCATTGTCCAGCCATTTGTGACCCCATATATAAATCACGTGCTAGAGAAGATCATCACACAAGGAGTACTTTATTTTCGAAATAACAAGCTTTTAAACGAAAACGTGACAGCGAGCTTCGTGTCTTTTACTCACACAACGACATCACTCAGGTCAAGACAATAATAG